GGCATACTTTACTATTCAGCAACAGTGTGTGTCACAGTTCAGCAAATATACAACACCAGTTGACAAAAACAAAATTGATTTATCTACTATAAAAATTAAAAACTGCAAATCTTACTGGCAATGACAACTCACCCGTATGATCCAAATTATAGAGATATTATATTATGTATTATATATTATTATATATAAATAAGAGATATTATTATATATAAATAAGAGATATTATTATATAAATAAGAGATAAATTATATATAAATAAGAGATATTATTATATATAAATAAGAGATATTATTATATATAAATAGATATTATTATATATAAATAAGAGAGATATTATTATTATTATATATAAAGAAGAGAGATATTATTATTATTATTATATATAAAGAAGAGAGATATTATTATTATTATTATATATAAAGAAGAGAGATATTATTATTATTATATATAAAGAAGAGAGATATTATTATTATTATATATAAAGAAGAGAGATATTATTATTATTATATATAAAGAAGAGAGATATTATTATATATAAAGAAGAGATATTTACAAATTCACATATCCCTTAAGTAATTGTGTTCCTGATTAAACCAAATTCATAAATAATTATATTGGATATACTACAACATGCCTAACAAAAAGACTCACATTACACGTCTCTGATCTTAGCTCAATTAGGTCTCATTTAATTACACATGGAGACCTACCAAACTCCATTCACAATATATATATATATATATATATATATATATATTCACAATATATTTATATTGATAAAAGAAATATAATGGCCTCATCCACATGTAAAGAAAGGCTAAGAATAATAGAAACATTAAAAAAGAAAAAGCCAACACTCAATAACATCACCTATGAATGTGGCTACAATATGCTGATTGTGTTTGGAAAATAAAGCAATCCTATAACTCTAGATACATACATAAAACAATCCATATACTTAGTTAAAAGTAAAAATAAAATCATCCTTAATAATAGCTAAAAAAATTCAGACATGCAAAACATTGGCACGGTTTCTACATAATTTATGTCCAGAAAAGAAGAAAATTATAAGAACACAATAAAAATTAAATAAAAACTTAACTGCAGTACCATGTCATTTATTTTTAATGAAATATTTTGCTGATACCACCTTGAAAAGAGAAACAGACAGGTCTGCCAATGAAACTCTGGATGGTGAAGGTAGCATCAATCAGCTGAATTACAAACTTTTACACACACACACACACACACACACACACACACACACACACATATATATATATATATATATATATATATATATATATACACACACACACGCACACAGTGTAACCTGGATATAAGAGAGTTGTTGGGGGAGAAGAAGTCTCTTATATCCGGGTTTGGTCTAATTTATATATATTAACACACTCTAATTTGGGACCAGAGAAAATCTCTCTCATATCTGGGTTTCTCTTATATCCGGGTTACAGTATATATATATATATATATATATATATATATATATATATATATAAATTTTTGCTATATTTATAGGGGAAGAATACTCAATATTGGGATTTTTTTTTTTTAATCATTTCACCCCCAAGCAAAGCAAGAATGCCACTAGTATGCATGGGGTTACAGGAAGTGAGAGAAAAGACTGAGTATAGAGAGGGTTAAGGAAAGAACAAAAGATAAATGGGATTCAAGAAGGTAGAAGATGGCAATTGATGTTGCATTTAAATTTTTGAAGATTGTAGATATCAGGGAAGCAAGTAAGAGGAAGGGAATTACACAGATGGGAAGTGCAAAAAAAAAAGAAACTGTTGGAGTAGAAGTGGTGGTTGCATTTAGTTACTTCAACACTAAAAAGGGTGGGACCTAAATGCCAATCAAATAGCACACATGTAGTTAGGGCACCAAGGAAAAAAAAATCATCAGAGCAGTTGCCATGAAAATATTTGTAGAAAAAACAGAGGGAAGCCACATCATGTTGGTGAGAAAGTGACTGAAATTGTGATGCCAAGTCAGGATTGATTACTTTACAGATCCTTCTTTACATTTTGTTCAGAAGCAGCAACACCAGATCAGATATAGCAGCAGTATTCAGTGTATGGGAAAATGGTAGATTTGTAAATGTGCAAATTGGACACTGATGAGAAAAATTTTATGAAATGACACAGTGACCCAACTTTTTTGTAAATATAAACAGTATTAACATCAATGCCGAATTTCCATTACCATGCAGTGTTGATATCTATGTCCTCACTGTTTGTCTTTATTCACCCACACCACACAAATAAATAATGAATAGCAGCTTGTAGTGAGAAATCAGAGAGCTGTGTTTGAATTTAGGCAAGTTTATTAATGTTGTAACTGAGTTATAAAAAACAACAACAGAAGTCAGGAATTGGTTTAACAATAAGTTTTGGTCCAGGGAAACATGATGTAGAATAGAAACTAGAAAAGAGAATGTTTAGCAGTGAATGACTTTTCAACAAAAGCTACTCCTCTTGATGTAGGAGTATTTTTATGTCTTTTGTCTGAGCCTAAACTTGTAGAAAAATATTCTCCCTCACAACAATTCACTTAATGTGAAAATACTTATGCGGCTATGATAACAAATATAAAGGAGAAAATAAGAAAAAAAAATATTCTGATGACAATGCTTAAATAAAATCAAAATGTTAAATTTATAAATGTTTCATATTTGTTCCTTATTTTATCATTCTGTATGATTTAATCCATATCTAATTTCAATTCTTATGTGTGTGTATATATACGTGTATAGATTCACACACACACACACACGTATAGATTCACACACACACACACGTATAGATTCACACACACACACACGTATAGATTCACACACACACACACACGTATAGATTCACACACACACACACGTATAGATTCACACACACACACACACACACACGTATAGATTCACACACACACACACGTATAGATTCACACACACACACACGTATAGATTCACACACACACATGTATAGATTCAAACACACACACACACACGATAGATTCACACACACACACGATAGATTCACACACACACACACACACACACACACGATAGATTCACACACACACACACGTATAGATTCACACACACACACACACGTATAGATTCACACACACACACACACGTGATAGATTCACACACACACACACGATAGATTCACATACACACACACACACACGTATAGATTCACACACACACGATAGATTCACACACACACACGATAGATTCACACACACACGTATAGATTCTCATACACACACACACACGATAGATTCACACACACACACACGATAGATTCTCACACACACACACACGATAGATTCTCACACACACACACACGATAGATTCTCACACACACACACGATAGATTCTCACACACACACACACGTATAGATTCTCACACACACACACACGATAGATTCACACACACACATGTATAGATTCTCACACACACACACGATAGATTCACACACACGTATAGATTCACACACACACACGTATAGATTCACACACACACGTATAGATTCTCACACACACACACACGTATAGATTCTCACACACACACACGTATAGATTCTCACACACACACACGTATAGATTCTCATTCTCACACACACGTATAGATTCTCACACACACACACATAGATTCTCACACACACACACACATATAGATTCTCACACACACACACACATATAGATTCTCACACACACACACACATATAGATTCTCACACACACACACACACGTATAGATTCTCACACACACACACGTATAGATTCTCACACACACACACACGTATAGATTCTCACACACACACACATGTATAGATTCTCACACACACACACGTATAGATTCTCACACACACACACGTATAGATTCTCACACACACACACGTATAGATTCTCATTCTCACACACACGTATAGATTCTCACACACACACATATAGATTCTCACACACACACACACATATAGATTCTCACACACACACACACACATATAGATTCTCACACACACACACACACATGTATAGATTCTCACACACACACACATGTATAGATTCTCACACACACACATGTATAGATTCTCACACACACACACATGTATAGATTCACACACACACACATATATAGATTTCACACACTCACACACACACACATATATACACACACATATATATATATATATATATATATATATATATATAGAGAGAGAGAGAGAGATTCCTAAATTTTTGCTTGAGGATGAAACAGCTTGATAAAGTATCAAGCTGTTTCATTTAATTTTAATAATTGAGGTTTTTGGATCTTGTTTTTGAAACATGAGAACTTTTATGTAGCAAAGGAATCTTATTATATATATATATATATATATACACACACCTTCCATCAGTATGGCTGATGCTAATTTCCAAGAGAGTGACTCATTGTGCCTTCTCTAACTAACATTTTTTGTTTACATGAAGTGGAAACATTTGTATTGAATCAATTGCTCGGTCTGCAGCTAAGAAAGTTGGTTGACTGTGTCATGCTAGACATAAGGATTGTGAACCATGTGATAGGTTTACCTTTCTACTTCAATTGAGAAGAGAAAAAAAATTAAAACAAATAATTAGTAAATAAAATTTCAGTTCAGATAGAGGCTTTAAAAAGAACTGGAGACTCAATCCTAAATAGGAAACAAAGGATAAACCTCTACTCCTGTTCAGAAGACTGTAGAGGAGTGTGAACTGGATGATATGCAAACCTATATACTCCTATTTATGTGAATGTAACTTAAGTGTGTATTAAAATTTTAATTTATTAGTGCATTTTAATTATAAGTGAATATGTAATGTCTGGTTATATTATCTGCAGATATTTGGATCCTGCATTCTTTAAGTATTGGTTTTATGTATATTCCTTATAGGTATTTCCCATTTTGTTTGAATCTTTTATTGCTGTTATTTATTTTAATTTATTTTTACTTTTATAGGAGCTGACCTCTTGTGCTTGGACAACAAAGGAGAAACTGATCAAAGCCCCAAATGTGGTGGCATTCACTCGAAGATTCAATCATGTAAGTGGCATCCCTCACTAGGTGGGGCAAGGATCAGGGCCTATCCCTGAGGCGTCTCAAAAGAGAAATGCCTGATTTGCTAAGCAACTTTTGTCACTAATCCTACATATTCATTATCTCCATTTTTAAAAACTGCCTTGTATACAAATACTCCCAAGTACTCCTATACTCTTTCTTCTGTGTTTTTGTTTTTAAAGCTGTAACAATTGAGGTACTAGGTGATTTAAAATGGATGGGATTGTTGTTGGTCACCAATTTATAGTGGGAGCAGTTATGAATTGTTCCTGAGGAGTATGAAGATGATAAAAATCAATGAATTCAACACATTCAAGAGAAATAGATTGAACTTTTGGAAGATTTTTATACATACATTTTTATGTGAGGAGTAACAATTCAAAATGAGAGAAAATAAGTGTGTAAACAGATAGCTGAAAAATGAAGAAAAAACATTATAGGCTTGGCTGTTGGAAAATTTGTATGTGATGCGCCACGTGGCTGGCTGAAATTAAGAAGGCAGCCTGCCTGAGAAAGAAATCTCTCCTGGCAGAGAGAATTTTTTTTGTTTTGTTTATGCAGCTGCATTCTGGAGTAAAACAAAGAGAAGAGGGTTTGTTTTCCAGTCATTTTATTCCTGAACAGTGCCATGTAACAGGCACCTTGGCAGATAATGTGGGAGTAATTTTCACAATCTAGATTCTTGGTTGAAGCTGTAATGCAACTGAATGTCTCCCACCCCACTTAAGATTTAAAGATCTTACCATTGCCTCTCTGACAGGAGAGGTTTCTTTCTAAGGCAGGCTGCTTTCTTAATTGGGGGAAGAAACATTTTATATTAAAATTGTTTTTTTTATATTCATTATTATTGGCTATTTGTTCTTAAGGGTGTTGGTCAGAATCTATCTTCTCTTATTTCTAAATGGTTTGTGGCTTGCCTGAAAAAGACAAATGGCCGTTTGATACTTGATGTATTCAAGCAAATTAATTGACATTGTGGTTTTTGACCATCTTAGAGAGAGAGTCAAGCGCTTGTCAGCTGCCCTCTGGAACTGAAAACTGTCCATGTCAAATGTTGTGTAATGTAATAAAAAAAAGGGAAAAAAAACAGATCTGACAAATTGTTTGACATTAGAATTACACAAAAGTCAGTTTGTTAGAAAAATATTATTCTAATCAGTGTTCAAAAAGAGAAATTCTTTTGAACTTTATGAAATATAGTAACTATAGAATATAGTAATTGACCTTCTTTTGAACTTTATGAAATATAGTAACTATAGAATATAGTAAATGACCTTGATAGGGGAATTACAGTGTTGCAAAAAATAACTTTTGCAAGTTAAAAGGTTTTTTTTATATATATATATATATATATATATATATATATATATATATAGGGACTTGCTAAGGATGAGTCCCACTCAAATTACCACCTAAATGTGTCGGAGACCATCTAAATTCAATCTTTAAACCCTTCTCTTTGTAAACAGAAGGACTTTTATATTAGGCCTCCAACTAATTACCATTTAAATATTTTTTTTCTTATTATATAATTTACTCTATTTACCTCGATTTAGCTCTGTTGAGCGAAGTACGAAACCGGTTAGCTAGCCCGTTTTTCATTTTTACTTTTTATTATCATGAGTGGTAATAATAAAACTAATTTTTGTCTGTTCATGGCAATCATAAAATTTTGTACCACTAAGCATATCTTTAAATTATATATATATATATTTAAGAGTTTCACCCCAAGCAAGGTGGGAAGCCACTAGCATGCGAGGGGTTACAGAGAGTTGGAGCTAGAGCAAATAGGAGTGATAGAGGAAAGGATGAAGAGAAGGATAGGGGATAGATCAAGGCATCTGGAGATGTCGATTGACATTACATTTGAATAGTTGGAGATTATAGCTATCAGGGAAACAGGAAAAGGGGGGAGTTCCACAGGCGTGAGGTGTGAGACATGAAGCTATTGGAGTAGAAGAGACGGCTGCATTTAACAGTTTCGACAGTGAAAGAGTGTGAGCGAGATGCCAGCCTAGTAGAACGCTTAAATTCATGAAGTTTGGGAGCCAGCGAAAGCAGCTTATCGGAGCAGTTACCATGAAAGTATTTGTGAAAAAGACAGAGGGAGGCGATGAGACGTCTGTGAGAGTGCGACTGCAGACGAGATGCCAGATCAGGGCCAATTACATTGCATATCCGTCTCGGGATCTTATCAAGAACCTTGAGACAAACAGAAGGGACACTGGATGATATATGGCAGCAATACTCAATGCAAGGGCAAATGGTTGATCTGTATGTATGTATATATATATATATATATATATATATATATATATATATATATATTAGTCGGGAATCTGCCATCCCCTGTCTTAAAAACAACTTAAGAGACCAACACAAGGACTGACCAATATTAATAATAAAAAAACAAATGAAAACTACAGAAAAGTTCACTTTCTTCAGAAACAGTCATTCACTGTTACTAACAAGCAGGGTTTTTTTTTTTTCCTCCTGATGATGGGCCATGCTGGCAAAAACTAGTTGAGGAACCTAATCGAAATAATAAAACAAAAAATATTAATATACAAACCCAGTGTCACAGTTTCAATTTGTTAAAAAAAACACACATATATATATATATATATATATATATATATATATATATATATATATTTTTTTTTTTTATATCAAGAACAATTTTAGGAGAAAGAATTATGACAAAGTGGAAAACGTTTTTGTGTGAGGCATTTTGTCCGTATAGACCCTTATTGAACTATGTTTATGTTTACGTTGATTCAAACACTGGGAATGTTAAATTTAAAAATAATTAAAAACAATTTTTTTTATGTGTTTTTGGCATAAAATCTCACCTTTTCATTTAGATTCTTTTTTCTTTTTGTTTGTGTTTGCATCATTTTTGTTATTTAATATCCCATGTTCTGAGAATAGAAAATCTGCCAGGAAATTAGAATTTAAAACTCCCAGTCTCTCATATTCCTGTGCATATGTAGTCACATTAATATAAACATAGTCTGATTGATTCCTAAAGGATAAAACATGTCACACAAAAACCTTTTCCACTTTGTCATATGTCTTTCCTGTGTTTGCATGTGCTATTTTCTATAAATACTTTCATGTTAATTGTTTTGATGAACTTTTCTATATGGTATGAATTTAAGCACAGTACTAGGTTGGCAGCTAGGTCTCATCAATTTACACTTGAAATGGCCAGATGTATCTAAGTTCTATGCTAAAAGTTTCTTTACTCTTACTTCTCACCTGTGGAACTATCTCCCCCCCCCGTTTCTTTCCATTCAACTTTGATCTTCAAAAGTTAAATGCAATGTCAATCATTGTCTGTCTTATTTTCTGTTCTTTTAATGTTCAGTCTCCTTAATAGTGTTTTTTTTCCCCCTCATATTCTCTAACAATCAGTAAGAGAATTATATATATAATTTGAATGTCCCTTGGATTTTTCAGTTTCCCTAGTAAGTTTGGGGAAATAATAATGAAATATTTTAGAACAGCATTTATACAGTTCACCATTGCTAAGTACACCACCAAGTGGTAAGCTCTTGAAGTTGGCAGTACAATGGGGTGTGTGCTTTCACTACTTCTTTTAATTATGTCCATGGAACTCATATTACTGGGTGCAGCAGACATGCCAAAGGAAGCGATGACTAAGGAACAAATGGTCCTTCCTCCTTCCAGAGCATTCTTGAATGACTTCACCATTCTAGTCCCATCTTAGGTCAATGCTGATGAACTGTTACAGTACTATCATAAGCTCTTCATGTGGGTGAAAATGAAGGCTAAGTCCAAGAAAAGCCGGAGCTTATTATTGTTCAGAGGTTCTGTCAGGGAGTTTTACTTCTGCATTAGGGGTGACGTGAACCTGACAGTCAAAGAGAAACCATTGAACAGACTCAGACGGCTATATGAAATTTGACTGACTGATTGGTACCGACGTAAAAAAGCGCAGAAAGTGGCACTAGATGGATTCAAATCCATCGACAGAACCCATCTCTCCTGCATACTGAAGGCTTAGTGCTACCAATATGGTTTGCCTACCTGGCTTTTCCAGCAATTGCAGGTGTATGATATTACTCTCTGGCATTCAGCTGATGCAGCAGTGTATCAACAAGTACCTGCATAAGTGGCTTGGAGTCCCCCCCCTGCTTCTCTACAGTGGGACTCCCCACCAGTGCTGGAAACCTGCATCTTCCCATCTCCTCATTGGTGGAGGAGTTCGATGTCGGGAAGGTATTCCTTCACATGATAATGAGGGTCTCAGCTGATGAGTCTTGTCTGCAGTTTATGGCCAGATATCAAAACTGGCACCAAATGGTTGGCAGTAGATGCCACCCAAGAAGCAGAATCCAGCCTGAGAACCAAGGAGATTATGGGGGTCACCCAAACCTATCGAGCTCGCCTGGGCAGCATGAGCAACCAGTTTTTCTCCAAATAGAGTCCAAAGAGTAAACGAAACATGGTGATTTAAGAAATCAGGAATTTCGAGGAAGAGCAGTAAACAACTGCTGTTTCTCTGTCCAAACAATTTGGACAACATGGAATGATATTGATCCAATGAAGCTATCATGGAATACTCTGATTGCAATGGAGCCATTGGCAATATCATCCTTCCTGTCATCTACATATGATCTCCTACCAAATGCAACCAACCACAAGCTGTGGAGGGTACACTGACACTGATGTATGTGTATTATGTCAAAATGATCGAAGCACTTTATGTCATGTGCTCTCTGCATACCCACAATCCCTGCAGATATACACGTGAAAGACCCAAATAACTCCCAACATGGCACTACTGAGTGGATCTTGTGATTCGCAGGTGTTAGTTGATCTTAGAACACCTCTGCAATTTCTGGTGCATGTTATTCAGACAGATGTGCACCCTGAGATTGTAACGTGGCCTGATTCAAAGAAGTGTGTCCTCCCAGTAGAATTAATGGTCCCATGGGAGGGGAACAGGGAGAAGTTGC